CATTAAAAGATTAGAACATAGCTGGCATTACCTAGGCTTTAATCAAACCCATACTGTTTTTCAACAGAAAAGGAAGAAAAGGCAAGAATATTTTTAAAAAAAATCTATGTCCAATTATGCCTTGAGGAGGAAAGAACCCCATTTTCCTATGGCTCAGACCCAGAATTTGGGTTCTTTGAAGTCTTCCACTTCCTGCAAGTAGAGAAAGAAAGAGTAGAAGCTTACCATAACCTAAACACAACATGTAAATTAGGACCTGTGATCAGAGGTTGGAAGAGACATATATATATTTCCCTAAATAACAGAGTGGGTGGGGAAAAATAACATGCTATTCTTCCCTTAAAATAAAAAGAATTACCTATTCCTAAAAGGAAAAGTCATCTGTTTTTAATGTAGTGAAGAATAATGCCATATTATTTCTTCTAAAATTAGTTTCAGAGACTCTACTGATCACAGTATCAGACTCTCAGATGCCTAGCTGCACTTGGCATGTTGAAGGGCTCTTCTGGTGTTTTATAGAGGACCTGACTCCAAACTGACAAAGTGAAAATAGCAGTTTGCCGAAGGCTCGTGACCCTTACTGCTATAGATGCAAGAGCCTCTTGGAGGGAGTAGGCTTTAGGTATTAGATTTCCAAACCACAGATTCTTATTTCTCGGTTAGAAAAATAAAAGTTCTGTATTTACCAGGCCTGGTACTGATACCCTATTTGTATCAGACCCCTGAATTATATTTCTTATTTCCTTAGCTTTTCCTGTAAGATAAAGTCCCCATTATCCCTGTTGTAGGTTTTTTTGGTTGTCTTTTTTCTGACCCACAATTGTGACAGTCTGCTTCTGAAATCCTGAATTTTTCAAGTTTTCCAGTGGGCCAGATAGGCTGCTTAAGAGTTCTGATAGTCATAGTCAATACATCATCTAAGTAAATAAATATTTTGCCTTAGGAAATGAAAAACTGAATTTATAACCATGGTAAACTACCTTGTAGCAATGTACAGGCCAAAGACTATTGGTTACCACTGACAAAATACTCCCCCAAGACAATATTGGAAATGTCTTGCTGTTTGGATGAATGGAAACGCTATGGAGATTTTTTCCTCAGGTATATTTTTACAAGAAATTCTCCTCTGTTCATTATACATTTAAATCTTTCAGGCTAACAATATGGAAGGGCTACATCTTCATTAAACAGGTTTAGGAGATTGAAATTTAAACCTGGGACATAATTCCTAGCAGGCCTGGGCCACAAATATGAAGCTTATTTATCCTCTGTAGTGTTTCCAATTAATTACCACTTCTAAGATCTAAACTACTCTTTTCTGAATCTCCTTTTGAACAAAAACAGCATTTGTGTCTAATTTTACCTGCATACCCCTAGCCACAGACTGGAAATGAAGTACAATTTCAACCTCCTACACTCACTTAAGAACAGACATCAGGGGATATATTGTTTTCCATGCTGAAATACTAAACTTTACTCTTCCTGATTATGTTTCTTTAAACATGATCCCAGAGAGGCTATGAAGGATTGAAAACTGGTAACCACAAATACTTACCTCCATCAGAATTCTACAGAGACACTATTCTGCCTTGTGATGGAGCACAGGATGATGAGATGAGAAGTATACAATTTCCTTTCATTCTTCTCTTTACTAAGCTCGAGGTCTAGTCCAGCAGTTCTCAACCTTTTGCACCTTTACATTCCAACAACCATTTTGTCAAAAAACCCTGGTCCAACCATGATTAAAACAAAACCCCACTTTTTCCAAGAAGTGTATTCCTGCAGAATCTTGAGCCTGCAGACCCCCTACCTTTCTCAGGAATGCCACTTTTTTCAGATAAGCCGCACCTACACAACCTTCGTGTCCCACTGGTTGAGAAACACTGGTCTAGTCAACCTTTGCTACTGAACTCTCTGTGTTTTCTCTTTCTATTTAACCCCTTCAAGAATGACTTTGGCCTAATGGTCAGTGCAGAAATTCTTGGTATTTGAAAAGGCTTGAAAAGGCTTTGTTAATTAAGGCTATATAGAGCATCCAGCTCCCCTGGCACTGGTTGCTTTGCAATGCATTTGATTCACCATAAATGCTAAGGCTGCAACTACAGATACAGATGGGAATGACTGGCTAGACTGTGGTACAGCAGAGAAGGACCTGAGGGTTGCAGCAGACCATATGCTGAATATGAGCCAACAGTGTGTTTATTTGCACAAAAAAGTATGCTCCATCCCTACTACCCTATGATCCCCTCCAGAAATAAGCTACATTAAACAGAATTGTTTAATTTACTGCAATCTATTTGCTTCTTATGTATTAGTCTCGACCATGGAAAGATGCAGGATTCACTAAAGGGAGATGTGGTAGGCCATGGGGGATGGTGCTGAAGCATCCCCTGGGCTGACAGGGGACACTGGAAAGCTTTGTAGGAAGCAGGCACAAGAAGTGGGGTGGACCCAGGGACACAGTCCCTCACTAACCTGAGGACAGGATGGAGGACAGAGCTGCTCCTGCCCTGTTCCAGCGCCTGCCTGCAGGGAGCAGCTATGTAGGGTTCTGGGCATGGCTGGGACAGTGGCAGCCAAATGCAGGTTCCTCCTTCCAGCCTCTGTGCCCTGCCTGCCTCTCACTCCAGTGTCCCCTGAAGATGTCCAAGAGCAGGCACTAGAACAGTGATTCTCAACTGGGGTGCCATAGCGCCCTGGGGCATCTTGAGATTCTTTCAAGGGTGCTGTTGGGTGCCACGCAATTTTAGCAATGGTAGGTTTACAAATATGATTCACAAGATAAACCAAGAGCAATAACTTAGAGCTGGCATTTTCCAAGGGGTGCCCTGAGTCTATCCAGTGGTGCCTCAAGGTTGAGAACCACTCCGCTAGAAGGAGAAACCTCTGCACTGCTGCTGCTGTCCCCACCTGAGCTCAGCTCCCTGCACAGCTGCTTCCTGAAGAGTGGGGTAGAAATGGGTAGAAGAGACCCAATGAGTAGGAGCCTAACCGCGCCTGAATCTGTGCAGGTCCCTCCTTCTAGTATCTGTTCCTGGCCAGTGAGGAGCACCTGTGGGGGAAGCAAAGCAGGCAGGGTGCTGGTGCTGGAAAAAAGAACCTGCACACCACTACCACTGTCCCCTACCAAGCCTGACACCCTGCACAGCCACAGCTTGTGGCTGAAGCAGGGCAGAAGCAGTTCTAGGGATTCCCCTGTGCCTGAATTAGCTGGGGGCAGCAGCAGAAGTGGGGTATATTCATACTGCCACACCCTGCTGTATCTGGTTATGTTTTCATCCCAGCTGGAAGATTTCACATTTTTTTTATAGTAAAGCATCCAGTTATCCTTTGAACCTTTTCTAATCTTTCATACTTTCTAGCTATAGTTGATTATAATATGTGCCTCCTATATCTCTCTAATTCTAATGCTGGCCCCAGGGGGGGGGGGGGGGGGGGGGGCGGGTGCTGTGCCCTGAAGCTGTGCCCATCTGCTACCTGTTTGTTAATGCTGACAAAAATGAGAAACAAAATATTGAAGGAGAACTAATACATTGCACCAGAAGGATGATTACTTTTACAAAGGGTTAACTGGCATAAGATGAAATTGAAATCAACACATGCCCACATGGTACAGTCATGGCAAACATATGTTTTAAGTAAGCTAATCTAACAGTCAGGCCAACACTAGAATGTCAAATATCAAGAATTCTTGTTATGAATGTCTTGATGGCAAAGCATATTGTAACAAACAACAGCTCCGCAGGCATATAGAGAGATAGATCCAGGATTTTATAAAGTGGGGTATGATTGCAGCAACTGGTGCTGCAAGGGTGGCTGCACCCTCTGAGTCTCCTCCCCCGCTCCCCCACCTCCATGCTCAAAGGCACATCCTCTCCCCTCCCCTCCCCTCTCCATCCCCCTCCCCCGCTGTTCTCCCCCTTCCCTGCCTGGTGCTGCTCATGTTTTGGCTGTTCTGGAGGCAAGGAGAGATCCTGCCTTCTCCACCTGGGCTGCACAGGGGCTAAGTTCATCTGGGACCATGTCAATGGAGGCAGATATATTCCCTCCCACTCCCCTGCTTCTGGCCTGGTAGGGATCTGGATCGGCCTCTGGGTATAAACTGTTTGCTAGAAGGAACAGGACTCAGGACTATTTGCACCAAAATGTAGATTCCCTATTCCTTGAACAACTGCAAACAAGCACCCACTTCTGTTCTTGTGGGGGGCTATCCACTAAAGGAAGACACAAGCACGCTAAGCCAATAGACAACAGTAACATCCTAACATTACCTCTTTACAGATCCTTTGGAATGAATCCACCTTCCTTTGAGAAAGCAAGAAAATGTCACAAAGCAATTCTTAAGTACAAGCATAATAATTTATTTGAAAATATGCCCCTATTCTACTGCTATGATGATACTATGTAAGGTCAGGCAGCTGTACTTTGGTTTTACCTGAATTTAAAAAAATGCAAAATCATTATTATAATTATTCTCACAACAACCCATTAACATAAACAACATTTAGCTTGAAAGAATGCATAAATAGAGATATCAAAATTATTAGTATTCACCTTATATTTGTAAAGAAAAGTCTTCATTATTTTCTCTGTGCTACCAATTCCACATATTTTTTATAGTAAAGCATCCAGTTATCTTTTGAATGTTTTCTGATCTTTCATATTTTCAATCTATAGTTGATTATAGTATGTTTCTCTGATCTCTCTCTCTAATGCAGGCCCCATTAGGGGTGTATTCTGTGTCCTGAAACCTTAAGTTTCTGTCTGCTACTTGTCTGTTAATGTTGACAAAAATGAAAAACCTAATATTTATGGAGAACAGATGCATCAGATCAAAAGAATGCATAATACAATAGAAATATCAAAATTATTAGTATAATACTGTAGTATTATTAGTGTATACTATATTACTTATAATTATATATGCAAAGCAAAGTCTTCATTATTTTCTTTGTGATACCAAATGCTGTTGATAAATTTTAAAATAAGAAATATTTCACCTTCAGATTGATGTGTTGCCAGAGGGGTCTGTGTTTCCTTGGAGTAGGACACCACTTCCCGAGGTAAGAAATCAACCTGGGTAATCTTTGACACACCTAGCTTGTGCAGTCTGCGTCTAAGATTTAATATACGACATCATAGGTTAATCACATTAATAAAAGTTATCATAGCACCAAAGCTTTCAAAAACAGAATGAATAACACATTTTAGTGTCTACTACAATTAAAAATTATAAACTAAGAATACAAAGTATCTAATTAACCAGGAGCTGACTTTGTACTGAAGGAAATTTAGCTGGGAACTACAAGATGAATGCAAATTATAATTAATGATATGAGAAGGTTACACATTTATGGCCTTATTCAGCCTGGCTCACATTGTGGAGGAGTAATGTAATGGGGAGGGACAGGGACGTTGTGTTTCATAGTTTCATAGTTTCTAGGGTCGGAAGGGACCTGGGCAGATCATCTAGTCCGACCCCCTCCCATGGCAGGAAAGAGTACTGGGGGTCAAACGACCCCAGCAAGATGGTCATCTAACCTCCTCTTAAAAACCCCCAGGGTGGGAGCCTGCACCACCTCACTTGGAAGCTGGTTCCAGACCCTAGCCGCCCTGACCGTGAAGTAGCGCATCCTGATGTCCAACTTAAACCTTCCCTCCGCCAGCTTGTGACCGTTATTCCTGGTCACTCCTGGCGGC